CGAGCCTTTTTTTTTTTTTTTTTTTTTGAGACAGTCTCACTATGTCACCCTCAGTGGAGTGCTGTGGCAAACTCTTGGGCTTAAGCCAGCAGTTCTCAACCTGTGGGTCACGACCCACAGGAACTATATTAAAGGGTTGCGGCATTAAGAAAGTTGAGAACCACTGGCTTAAGCGATTCTCTTGCCTCAACCTCCCAAGTAGCTGGGACTACAGGTGCCTGCTATAATGCCTGGCTATTTTTATTGTTGTTGCAGTTGTCATTCCTGTTTTAGCTAGCCTGGACTGGGTTTGAACCCGCCAACCTCCGTGTATGTGGCCCACACCCTAACCACTGTGCTTATGTTGTACCCAGAATTTCCCTGAGTCCCTGAGCCCACGAAGGGACCAACTGAGATGCACTCCAATGTAAAAGCAAGAGGCAAGCTTTATTTGGCAAACTCGAGTTCGGACCCTCTCTTGGCAAACATACCAAGGAAGGCCCTGAGCCTAGGGGGTTAGAAAGTTTTATAGGGTACCAAAAGCAAGAAGGGTGAAGAAGGATGGGGTACATTTTTGATTGGTGGTTGGGGTATGGGGAAGTAGGGGTGATTGGTGGTCAGGGTTTGGGGAAGTACGGGGAGGCTCTGGATTGGTACAGGTATGAGGGGTAGGGGATTTCCTAACTGAGGTGAGAGAGGGGTCTTGGGGTGGTATGGAGCAAGAGGGGTGGGGTACACTTCTGATTGGCTGGCTGGAAGGTTTGATTTTGGGGAAAGGCCAGGGTTTTGGGGAAGCTGAAGCTTATTATCTAAGATGGCGGCGGGGGCTCAAAATGAGGAACAGAACTTAGGCAGTAAGCAACAAAATGGCGCTGGTCTGGCCCTCTCACTACAGGCGCTGAGCAACCTGAAGTTGTTTTTAAAAGTCTTAGGCCAGGTGTGGTGGTGGCTCATGGCTGTGATCCTAGCACTCTGGGAGGCTGAGGCAGATGGATTGCTTGAGCTCAGGAGTTTGAGACCAACATGAGCAACTCCTCTCTACTAAAAATAGGAAAATTAGCCAGGCATGACGGTGCACAGCTCTAGTCCCAGCTACTCAGGAGGCTGAGGCAGAATTGCTTGAGCCTAGGAGCTTGAGGTTGCTGTGAGTTAAGATGATATCACTGCACTCTATCTTGGGTGACAGAGCAAGACTCTGTCTCAAAAAAAAAAAGAAAAAGTCTTAGTAACTTAGAGCAATTTGCCTTTTTTGGAGGAAAGCAAGATAACCCTACCTATCCAAGCATTAGCTTAACCAAAAGGGGAGAGAAAAATGAGTAGAAACAGAAAAGTTGTTCTCACTAATTAATGAATGAATATTAATTGAATAGTCATTCTGTGGCAGACTCTATTCTAGATCTATCTCATTGACTGTTCTCAAGAATTTTTAAAAATAGCCATGTTATCACTATAGTACACAGGAGGAAATGCAAGCTTAGATAGGTGACATAGTTTACACAAGGTCAACAGCTGTTAAGTGGTATAGCTAGGATTCTAACCCGACACAAAGTAGTTTCAACTTATGGAATGTTTCTTATGTGCCAGGAAGTGATAAGTGTTTATTTATAGTATCTCATTACACTTCTAGGACAATCCTACAAAGTACCATTATTTACCCAGTTTACATGTAAGGACTCTGGACTCTGAGAGTTGCACAGGACACACAGTTTCCAAGTGGCAAGATTGTCATTTAACGTCTTTCTTTGATGACGGGACACAAACATGTCCGGGCAAGGGAGAGATGGACCAAGACCATGAGGACAGCCTGTGGTGGGAAAGGATGGCAGATTCCTGTGGTCTAAATGGGAACTACTTGCTAATAGGCTTATTTGTAGCCCTAGCAATATAGGCTATCTGTAAATAGTTTAGCATGCTTTACGTTTAGTAAATTCGCTTTTAATCTTATCCATAGAACATGAGTATTGTATTCTTCCCAGGAAATGTCTGGGCACAAAAGTTCAACTTAAGAACAATGGCAAGGGATGGACTATGTCTAACGTAAATCCTACTTCACTGACTATCTCAGATGTACATGGGCGTCCAGCCTACAGAGACCCTTCAGAATGGATCTCCTTCACCTCTTTGGAAGGAAGATGTTACCATTTATTTCCAGCCTGTTCTTGAAACTTGCCTTTCCTATTCATCCTTCAGTCTTCTGAGTCATCTCACCTGAAGATCTTTGAGTTCTGCCTCATTTCAGGACCTACAGGCAATCACGTAGGTAAATAATATTTTTCTTATTCTCTGATCTCATAAAAGTAGAATTGTGACTCAGTTACATTCACCAGAGAGCCAGCGTTATATGTGTCCAGGCAAAGAGTTAGTCACACAAACAGTGGGTTGCTAAGCAACATAATACACATTTCATTAATTGCAGCAATGGCACTGTTTGCTCTCAGTGCCTGTGATATAAGGGGGACTCCTAGTTAGAGTCCTGATATATAGGTACGGTGAGGACCAGAAGGTCATGGGTGATATATTCTGGTTTCAATTGCATATTCTGTTTGGATGATTTCAATTTGTGGTCGGGAGTGAAGTGATGAGACATGAAAGTGGGATAGGAGCTGATAAGGTTGTCAGCTGATATATTAACATATTTTCCTGTGTGTGCACACATGTGAAATAATTGAACTTGACAATGACTTACACTAAATTCTATTGGTTCTTCAGCTTCTAGCTTAAATATCAGTTTTCCCCCAAAGCCCCTCAAGACTGGATTAGGTGTTTCTTGGTATGGATATTTGCTGTTGTTATTGTTGTTTGGGGAAGACTTCCCTTAAGTGTAGTATTTGTGGGATCCCTTACTCCTCTTCCTGGGAGGAAGAAGCTGAAGAGGGGGACGTGTTTCCTTTCCCGCTCGCTAGCAGTCCTGGTCTCATCCAATCAGATTCTACATTCTGGAATTATAAGTGAGTGACATAACACAAGAGAGATGACTAGAATTCATTTCTTGTTTTCAGTGGAAGAATTATCCCTTTCACTTGGCATTTGAAGCCTTCTGGGGTGCTCCCCATTTCCTGTGCTTGCTTGTCCAGACCTTCTAGATCCTCTGAGCCCCACATTGAAGTGTCTTTTCCCCACAGCCTTCCAGGCAATCTTTTGCCTAACTTG